CCCCCCAGAATTCAGCATTTGCTCTCCCCCCTCCCTTATATAACTGCTTACTTAAGAAGTAAATGGGTTTCACATTTCTCTTCTAACACCAATATTTACCTCCATTCCTTCAAATGGGGGTGGATCTTTTGGCTTACTGGATTTCTCTTTCTTTTCTATAAAGAAAAAGACACTGTTGCAGTTAAGTTATGCGTATTCACAGACAAAAAACATATCCAGTATTCTCATAGTAAACATTCTGGTTAGATCAAGGTCAAAGTCCTTTTGTGTCCAGCGGACCTGTCAGACTAACACAGCTAAGGTATGTCAGGTTTCTGAAGCTGAACAGCCCACAGGGAGCAAAATAAACCCTCAGATGCTTTTTGATTCCTCACCCTAAATGATCAGTTACAGCCCAGTCAGATGGGGAGACAGAGGGTAATAAACCTTAGTGCAAGCCCAGACTGACAAAACTCACTTTCACAGCGAGATAACTTAGTAGCTTTGATTCTGCTTGTACACTGTGGCAAAGCTGCCCTGTGATACACCAAGACACACATATACAGAATAAAAGAGGGTAAAACACCCAAAGCAGTTACAATCACAGCATACAAATAACATTTATCTTTGTTTTAAATTCATCCCATTAAGATAAGAATCCAACTTGAGAACAAAGCTTACCATTTCATGATTGCAAGAAACCTTGCTAACCACAAGGTAATGCAGGATCAGATGTTAAATATGAAATTGTCCCCTGAGCAGAAAGTTTAAGATGAACTTAAGACATAAATTGGACCACCAAAATGCCTTGGCATCAGAGCAGAGAATTACTGTTCTCAGTAACTTGTTCACCAGGAACTTAAGACAACAAGATGAGAGAATTACCGCAAGCTGTCTGCTACACTGTACCAAAGCTTGTCAGACTCAAACTCCTCACCCCAGCTTTACAGACAGTGCAAATTCAGCCTAGGAACACTATATACCATTGCAACAGGTGACAACAGAGATATTTCTAGGAAGATCCTCATACAATCTTTTGATGTCACTGCAAGTGGAGATGCAATATGAAGAGGCTGTACCAAACAGTGAAACCTGTACCTCTCAAGACCTACCAAAGCACAAGGCAGCCAGTAAGAAGGATCAATACTAAGTTTAACTAACTGAAAAAATAAACTTTGGTTGTTAAAAAGATAATTCTCCCCAATCTCTCTCCCAGATTGTAATTTTTTCCAAGTGTGATTTAACTATACATCTTCCCCACTCATTATCTCTGGAGAACTCATATATCAAGCAAGTTAGGACCTCAGCTAGAAAAACCTCACACAGTAGTTGTTCAATGCTGAAGCACTCCAGTCCCAAGCTACT